ATATATAAAAAAAAAAGAAAGTCTACTGGAACCAAGGGTCGCCGGTCACATGATGGTCACTGCTAGTGAAAGACCTTCAGTTAGCAGTCAGGACTTCAAGAGAAAGTGGGGGGCTGGGAGTGCAAGGACCTGGATTCGATGCCCAGTAGTGCATGCATGTGGGCTCCAGAGCCTCGGGCATGTGCTGGGCACCAAGCAAGCAATTAAATAAAATATTTAAAAAGAAATAATTAAGTCAGGGCATGGTGGCGCACGCCTGTAATCCCAGCGCTGGGGAAGCTGAAAACAGGAGGATCACTAGGAGCCTGAGCTGCTTAGTGAGACCCTGTACCAAATACATAAAAAAAAGTAGATCCCTGGCACCACAAAAAAAAAAAAAAAAAAAAAAAGCGGAAGAGGCCCAGTCAGTTCCCTGGACCCGCGGTGTCCAAGCCACCAACTGGGGTACCCTGGGGGAGCACTCTGCAAGTCCCGCCCACCCAGGCTCCTAGTGGCCCTTGCATCTTTGCTACTTACCTACAGCCATGGGGACACCCATGCACTGGACCCTGGACCCTAGAAGATCACTATATAGGGCTCTGGGACCCTGACACCCCCAAGAATTCACGCTTAATGTCCCCAACCCCTGGGCTAGGTGCCCATGCCAAGGGCCCCCACGTGACAGCCACAAGTGTCCCTGGGCATGGCTCAGCATCCCCTGGGGGCACGATCACCCCTCCCTCCCCAGCGACCCCATATGTGACAAGAAGTCACTGGAGGCTTGAGTTGGGGAGGGCTGAGAACCACTAGTTACAATAGGGGGAGCCCTTGGTTTGCAGGCCTGAGCTGGTGAGGTGAGGTAGCCAGAGCAGGGCTGGGTGAGGAAGGAGGCTGGGAATTTGGTGCCAGAGCTCAGGAAATAGGACAGGGCCCATGGAAAACTGTCCCCAGCTCAGCACCCCGGGAAGACAGCAGGGGTGTGGAGGGGCCGCGTGGCCCAATCTGGACCCTTCTCACCCAGCCAGGGCCACACCCAGCCTCGCTGGCCTTTCCTAAGGATGGAAGGAGGTGACTTATTTCTTGCGTGGAACTAGGGACTGAAGCCAGGGCTTGTGCAGTGTTGACAGGGTCTTGTTAGGCTGCTGTCATGGAGACTGGGCTCCAACTTTCAGTCCTCCTGTCTGAGCCTCTGGTAGCAGGGATCGAGCTCGGGAACTTGCACTTGCCAGGTAGGCGCTTAGACTGCTGAGCCCCATAAAACCTTTCCTGTTCACAAACTTAGTTCTGGCTTCAGATACGACAGAACAAGAACAGCACTTCGGTTCCAGGTGTTCTGCTCCAAAGCCATAACGCTGGTTTAATTGCAAACCAGGGTTAGACACACGCAGGTTGAAAAGTTTTACGTGGTCTCTAGCGGGGCCGCAAAGCAAGAGGTGAGCAGAATCAAGGCTGCCTCGGCTTCCAGCCAACCCCAGCTTTCCATCCCTGTCACCGCCAAGCGCTGCCACCTCCTGCACTAACAGCAAGGCCCTAACACAGAGGAGCAAACCCACCATGAACTGCGCATGCGCGAGACCATCACACACACACACACACACACACACACACACACACACACACGCAGGCACGCACACACACGCACGCACACGCACACGCACGCACCTGCCTCCCACCCCTCCCCACGTGTGGGAAAGCATCTCACAGAAAACTGATCTCTGATGCCAAAAGGGTTGAGGACTCCTGCTATAGGACACCCGGCTACGCTGGAGGGAATCCTCAGCTGGTCCCTGTAACTCTCATGAAAACATAAAATGATGCTGAAATGCAAAACTCATTTGATGAGGCCAGGGAGATAGCTCAGTGGCGTAAGTGCCCGCCTAAAGGAGCAAGGTACTGAGTTCAATCCCCCAGACAAAAACAAAAACCAACTCATTGTAGAGGAAAAAAAAGGCTCACTGTAGGGCTGGCGGTGTGGTTCAGTGGTGAGCACTTCACTAGCGCTTGGAAGCCCTGGGTTCCATCCCCAGCACCTTAAAAGAAGAGTTTGGCGCGGGTGTGCTCAAGATTCGGCTTCACCGGCTTCACCGGTAACTCACGGCCGGCGGAGGAAGGCACCGCTGCTGGGGGCGTCCCGGGCGGGCGGCTCCTGCCTTCCGGGAGGGGCTGAAGGCCGCCCGCTGCCTCCACACCGCGCCACGCCCACCTCCTGCTGGCGTCTGGCTGCGAGCGGCGCGTGTATGCAGTCGGGGAGGCCCTTCGTGCTGAGCGCAGATCAACCTTATTAAGTCGATGACAACAAGAAATTAGGGACATTCGTAGACCTCTTTAAAATTCACGGTGAGGGAAAACCCCGTAAAGTGCTGGCTAAGGACGGTGGCAAAGAATCGCAAGCCAAGGACGTCATCTCAAACGCAAGAAATGAATGAACAAAAATTTTGGTTCACTGAAAACAAAAACAGAAAAAAAGAAAGAAAAGTTCATAGCCAGGCATGATGATCCCAACGTTCTGGGAGGCTGAGGCAGGAGGATTGCAAGTTCAAACCCAGCCTGGGCAACTTAGTGACTTAGTGAGACCTTATCTCCAAATGAACAAACGGGCTGGGGCTGGAGCTCAGTGGAAGGCCCTGAGGTAATTCCCCAGGATGGCAAAAAATAGTTTTAATTTAAAAAGTTAAAGTTTTGTTTTTGTTCTTTTAAATGCTGGCCGGCTTTCTGTGAACTCCAACTAATTAGGTGAAATACACACTGTCAACTGCAGGTGGCGCCCGAGCTGCAGAAATGTCTGAAGCGGGTCTTGCACAATTAGCTCAACTAGGACTGTCCTCTTGGAACTGGCGCTGTTGTCTCTCTGAGGACAAAGAAAGGACCCTGTCCGTAATTGCCACCGGGGATGCATGATGAAAGGGCTGGAGCAGCATCCCTATGGAGCTGCTGGAGGCCAAGACTGTCTCTATCTTATAGGAACTGGCTATGTGTAACTCTGCTTTTTCTTTTCCTTTCTTTTTTTTGAATTGTTATTGTTTATTATTCATTATTATTCATATGCAAATATTTACAAATCAGCATTGTTACACTGTTAAAAGTTTTTTTGTTTTTATTTGCAATCCTCTCTACATTTTCCATTAGCTTCTCAGTGTCATTTTCCTTTCTTTTTTTTATTTTTTTATTTTATTTTTTTTATCATTTTTCTTTCTTTCTTTCTTTTTGTATTTTAGGGAAGGGTCTACAGGGCGTTCAGAGACTCACTACTAGATTGGACTGGTAGTGATCCATCTGTTTACAGCCTCCCAAAAGCTGGGATTACAGGCGCGCACCACCATGCCCTTTTTTTCTTTTCTTCTCTTTTGTATTTTAGGAAAGGGTCTACAGGGTGTTCAGGATCTCACTACTAGATCAGACTCATGGAGTCCCAGAGCTGGGATTACAGGTGCGCACCACCATGTCCAGTCTCAATTCCCATCTCAGAACACCCCGGGGATTGAATCGCTGGCCCCTGTGCCTGTTGCAGGCTCTTTAATCCGCTCAGCTATTTGGCCGGTCCTCTCTCTCTTTTTTGAGACAGGCCTCAATATGTAGTTCTAGCTAGCTTTGAATTCACTATGTAGCCCAGGCTGGCCTCAAACGTGCAGTGATCCTCCTGCCTCAGCCTCCCGGGTGCTGGGATTTGAAGTGATTACAACTCACAGATGCAAAGATAGTATGGAGGGATCCAGCACCTTCTGCCCAGTTTCCCTACCAGCAGCACTTTATAAAACTATGTGCTAATATCCAACCCAGGAAAGGGAGAGAGGCCCATCTGTCACACTGAGTATACGGGCTGAATGCTAAGGGTTATTTTTGTCTGGGAGAACCCTATAGAAAGTGTTCACGTCATACCCATTTGCAGTACACAACTCAGCCAGGAGTGGCAGCTCACCCGTCATCCCAGCTAGCTGGGAGGCTGAAGCAGGGGGATCCACATTCAAGGTCAGTCTGTGCAACTTAGGAAGACCTTGTCCCAAAACAAAAAGTGAAAAGGGGGGCCCTGGGGCTCAGTGAGAAGTCCGTGTTCCTTCCCCAGGGCTGCAAAAATCAACGACAAGGACAGAGTTCACTGGCTGGTGGAAGGTTCTAGCTCCAGTAGTGGTTACCACTAAGGCAGCGCAGAGCACACCCAACACCGCTCTGACCCCAGGAGCCAGCCCTCGATGGTGCCCTCCCACGAGGCCACTTCCTGTCCCTAGAGTCGCTGTTTGGGCACTTCCTGTCCGCAGAGCCCAGGCCGGGTGTCCTCTGTGTCTGGGTC